GGGATGTCAACGCCACGTATCTACTTGACTGCTGCGTCTTGACAGTCCAGAATCGTGCCAGAACGACATTTTTGGGACTTCAACAAAGCGAATGAACGTAACTGTTGCGCCCGCATAATCTTGAACCCTTCCAAAACACCTTTTTTGATACGTTGATCATGGGAAGCCATGAAACTCTTGTGAATTTTTAAAAGAATGTGCGCGGCGCTAAAGCGAGAGTCACAGTTTGAAAACGACCCGCCCACAATCCGTGAAGCTCTTGGAAATTTTTAAAACGAATTTGCGCGGCGCTAAGGCGAGAGCCACATTTTGAAAACCACCCGCCCTCAATCCGTGAAGCTCTTGGATTTTTTTAACGAATGTGCGCGGCGCTAAGGCGAGAGCCACATTTGAAAACCACCCGCCCTCGATCCGTGAAGCTCTCGGATTTTTTTAAAAACGAATGTGCGCGGCGCTAAGGCGAGAGCCACACTTTGAAAACCACCTGCCCTCTATCTGTGAAACTGTTGTCACTTTTTAAGCTCCAGAGTCATACATGATGAGGAAGCCTCATGCGAAACGCCCGGCTCGCCCTAAAAACTGGCCTCGGGGTGCGACAGGGAGTTATCTATAAGGAAAAGGAATGGAGGAGGAGGACGAGGAGGAGGAGAAGGAGGACGAGGAGTAGGAGGAGGAGGAGGATGCGGAAAAGGAGGCGGAGGAAAAGGAGGCGTACGAGAATGAGGCGGAGGAAGAGCCAGAGAAGGAGCAGGAGGAACGATGATGAGGAGGAGCAGGCAGGAGGCAGGAGCTTCGGAGGGGCTCGGCAGGCGCCATCCTGGGCCCACCCAGGTCTGGCGGGCCTGCAAGCGGGAGCTCCCACCGCGGGAGAAGTGGAGGGACTATCCGGCTGGGGCCGATGCCGCTCTCCGTCGGAGCCTCCCGCGGCCTTGGGCGGCCCGCGGCGGCCTTCCGAGGACCTCGGTGGTCCTCCGCGGCCCGGGCGGCGGCGTGGAGGGGGGGCGGCGGGGCGGTGGAGCCCGAGGCCACTCTCCGGCGGGTGCTGCAGGCGGTCGGGAACCTGAGCTCAGCGTGCCGCTCCGCCAGCTCTGGCCCGCTAAACGCTCCGGCACGATGCGCGAACCACGTGCCAGCACTGAAGCAGCAACGTCCTGAGCCTTTCCCAGCCTTCGCAACCGCGGAGCCCAGCGACACGCCCTCCGCTAGCAAGGCATACCGTGTCGCCGGGGCCGCCGGCGCGACACGCTAAGCAGCAGTTCCCGACCGTAGGCAGGGCTGGCCCGCTCGCACCCTCTCCTCATGGCCATGTCCCAACCCGACGGGCGACGACTCAGACTGGATTGCAGGCCTGGCGTGCGAAGAAACACCCATCTCGGGAACAACCCTCGGGGAAGACGAGCCGTGAACATCAGCTTCCGGGCGGATTCCTCGTGTCGGCGCCTTGCCCCTCCCGACCTCCTCGGCGGCGCTTGAGGCGCCGCCCCCCCTCGGCCGTACGCAAAGGGGCGTGGGGTGGGGGGTCCAGCCCAGACCCAAGACATCTGGTTGGGCCTCGGGAAGTTTGTGATTGTGCAGCTCTTGGTATTCCAGGATAAGGAGGAGTATCGGAGTGAGCCCAGCACGCGCTGCCGATGCTGCGATACACTGGCCTGGCCCCAGGCCCCCTCCTGGTAACTGAATGCAAGTCGGCGCTGAAATCTGAACCCTGCCCTCGCCGATCAACGATGCAGACAACTCGATGGGCGGCGGAGGTAGGGTTCGGAATTCGTCGAACACGTGGCTAACTCCGAACTCTACCCGCGCCTCCCATCGATTCCGGAGAATCGATGGTTGGTACGGGCAGGGTTCGGATGTCGCCACCTAGCAAGGGTCCCGTTGTTCTGCGCGGTGAGACTCCGGTCGGGTGGTAAACGCGTCTCGCTGATCGGATTCGTTCTCAGCTGCGTAACGCTACCCAGCATAACGAGTCGTAGATGGGATCACTCTTCATCCACGATGCAGCAGGTTTGAACGGCGCAGGCACATCGCTCACTCGAGGGCAGGGTTTTGAATAGGATCCGTCCTGCATTCGCCCGTGTAGTCTTTCGGCATTTTAAGCTTTCTGCTCACGAGGTTGTCTGAACCAGTGCCAGGCGAGGATGCTGTTTTGGAAACGCGCCCGCCCTTAGTTCGTGTAGTTACTGGATCTCTCAATCTTTAGAGCCATGATATGTGTGGGGTCTCATGAGATCGTCGCCACATTTTGAACAAGATCCGCCCTCTATCCGTGTACCAGTTTTGGGATTGCTTGCTGGACGACCATGGGAGTGAAACGACGTACCAGGCGATCCCTTCGGCTTCCATCCGAGTTACTGGTTGGAAATGCGACGCTAAAGGAAGGCAGAAATTTAAGGGAGTCCTTTAGGCGAGACGAGAGCAGAATTTTGAAACTACCCGCGCTCCTTCAGTGTGGCTGTTGGACTCTTAACGGTAGCCAGATGGTCAGAACAGCTGGCCTTTCATCTGAGTATTTGGTACCTTACATGAACTAGTACCATACGATTAGAGAAGGATTGATCCAGGAGGCAGCCATATTTCGACGACCCGCCTTCAGTCCGTGTTATAATTGAACACCACAAGATTTCTGACTGCGACGAGGACGTGTAATTGCTCAATCAGTCTCGGCCAAGGGTTTCTTGCTTGGTTTGGTCTGTGAATGCGCTGTCCTGGAGCCCTCCGTCAGGCCGCTTCCTGCTGACCTGGGCGCAAGATCTCCGTTTGAATTTCAGATTCTTCTATGCTGCATTATGTGATGGCATGCTGGCTGCCTACGCTAATACTATTGCCAACGCCAATGTCAGTGCCACTGCTAATGTAGTGCTAATGCTAGTGCTAATGCGATGCCATACCATGCTAAATTATGCGATGATATGTCATGCGAGCTGTATTGCAAGCCCTGCGACGCTAGTGATCTACGATGCTACGCATGCTATACACCAATGAATTGTGCTGGGCTGCGCAATGTCAGGACACGCTAAACTCGGCTATGCTAGGCTGTATTAGGCTACGCCGCGCTATGCTATGACAGTGCCACAGTACGTTATGGATATGCAGAGCTATGGTATTTTGGTGCTAGGCTGTGATACGCTGATGCAGGTGTCAGGCGCTTCTCGGTAATCCGACGCTATTCAATTGCTATTGCTGCGCTATGCCATGCTCCGTGCTAAACTACTTCTTGCTATCATATGACATGCCAGGCTATGCCTGCATCGTTATATTCCTCGTAATTCTATGCTTTGCCAACATTTTGCTCTTATCTGCGCATGGAGTGCTATTGTATTTGGTGCTGCGCTGTTCAATACTTCAGCTGACTATGCTTTGCTATGCTATGAATCGATGTGCATCGACATGCTATCAAGTGATATGCTATGCTACGCACTTATATACCTGGCTACGTCATGTTATGCAACTCGCAGCTACAATTTGCTATGCAGACCTATACCATGCCAGTGCTATGCTGTGTAATGTTACGCTAGACTATGCGATGTTACGCTATGATGTGCATTACTTGACTGTGACATGCATTGCGATGCCATGCCTTGCTGTATTATGCATCGGTATATGGTTCTGGGCTACACGATGCAGTGCTATGCTATGCCATATGCTTTATGATACGGCACGACATGGTGCGCTATCTAATGCCACTCACTGCAACAGCATTCCATGCTGCGCTATGCAATGCTATGCAGCGCAATGATATGGTGAATGCTATGCAGCGCAATGATATGGTGACATGGCAGGCGGTATAACTATGTGCTGCGCCAGGATGTATTGTGTTATGTGATGCAATCCGATACAAGTCGAGGCGATGCTCTTACACGCAGTGCAATGGCAACACGTCAACGCTACGCAATACAACACTACGCAATACCATGCGACCCCGTTCTATCATCGCATTATACAACAAGTTCCGGGGAACCGACAACAAGCCGATTTTCGGGAACGTCTTCTTCAAAAACAACCTGACACGAGAGGAACGTCAACGTGAAAAGAGATTGGGCTATACCAAACATCATCTTTCCGAACACGAGAGTTGCAAAGCCAAATCAATACATATTCTCTGGCCGAAGAGCATGATCGTTGCAAAGGACACGCAGGGGATGGAGATGAAAATCGCATGGCTTGATGATGAGGGAGTATGGCACGCAACAGCAACAGGTAAGGTAGTGGAGAAGAAGCTGCAGGAGTCGATGGGCAAATGTTTGGCCAAGGTTGACCCGGAGCCTGCCACCGAGACCGACAGCAGCGAGTGACCACGTGGTGGAGCGCACGTCCAGCAAGCGTGCGAAGGGGGAGAAAAGTACCGTGTCAAGGACGGCAGCTTTCAAGGGAGGTGGGCGTGGGATTTTTCAGAATGTAGACGGCGACTTCCCTGTGGCATCATTGAGGCGTGCAGTGTCTGGAAGCCTTGGGGTGCAGCTGGCGGAAGTAACAGAGAAGTCCGAGATAATACGTCAAGACTTGATTTTTGGATGCAGAGTTTATTCAACAAATGCAAGATCTTTGAAATCAGACGACAGAGTAGACGAGCTCATGCGAAAGCTTTCACATGTATCCTGGGACGTCGTCTTGCTGAGCGAAACTTGGAGAGACGAAGCTAATGAAATGTGGGAGACGGAAGACGGCCATATTTTTGCAGGTAGGGGGTGAGGCGAGAATTCGAGAGGAGTCGCGGGTCTAGCACATGCGAAGCACAAGAGGCATATCAAGGAAGTCTTGCACGTGAGCGAGCGTATCTTGGCCATGGACGCTTACATTCATGGGCACACGATTCGGTTAATTTCTGGTTATTTTCCCCATGGGATATACCCGGACGCAACGGTGCAAGATATGTACACGGCGATCTCGTTATCCGGGAGGCACGTCGCAAAAAGGTGGACGTGACCATCGGAGGCGATTTTAACGCCGAGGTGGGGACACGTTTGGACGGAGATGATGTTAGTTTTTTCGGGCAGTTTGGCATGGGCCGTAGCATCAACAGGGGGCGGCTGCTGAATAGTTGGGCCAAGATGGAGAAGATGGTGGTGGCGAATACGATGTTCGAGAGACCAGAAGAGAAACGCATCACCTTGATCGGCACGGACGACATCCCCAAACAACTCGATTACATTCTTGTGGGTCGCAGCTCAAACTGCCGGGTTGTGAATGCACGATCGACTTCTTGTTTGGATTCGGGATCTGATCACAGGGCAGTGCGGGCGAAATTATGCTTTACTTCATCTCAGGATTTTGTTAGGGACACGGCCGAAAGAGGAGCTCACAGGGCCAAGAGGCGCACTGGCGAGTATCAGAAAACGTCGTTTCAAGAAAAAGTGAATTCATGATTGAGCGTGATGAGTTTCGATAGCGGGCAGGCGCAGTCAATGGGCGGCGAGATCGAAGAAATCCTCAACGCGGCGGCCGTGGAATCAGCTGCAAATGAGCAGAACCAGGGCCACGATCATGCAAAGCAAAATAGTGATAATATAACACGCGTTATTTCCAGCAGAAAGACGTTACCACCATATTGATTTTCGGAGCGAGCCCAACTCAGCAAAAGCATCCGCAGGGGAAACCAGAGAGCCAGGAGACAGGAGAGCCGGCGGCGAATTGGAGAAATTTTGAAGCAGTTCAAATATATTAAGAAGATACCTCGACACAATCCATCAGGAAGAAATCGTTCATCCCAGCGGCCGTGGATCAGCAAGGGAGGACGCATTCCGATAGACAGCATCGCGGACGTATTCGGTGAGTTCTACGAAGACCTGTACCGAGTAGTTGGCCCTTCCGCAGCTGGCAGCGCCAGAAGCAGTGGCAGCATTCCTCCTTTTGTTGCGTCCGAAGTCTGGAGGAAATCAAGGCTTTGAAGCGTTGTGAAGCTGCAGACCGCGCGGGCATTCCAGCGACATGTTCAAAAACTGCGGGCCGATTTTAATTTACATGGTCGTCCTTCTTTTCAGTGACATTATCAATCCATGCGCTCTCCCGCCAGAGAGCTGGAAGACATCTCGTATCACAGTGATTTTCAAGGACGGCGACGAAAAGCTGTCATCCAATTATCGTCCTATCACTATCATACCACTATTGCACAACTTGTTTAGCAGATTGACTAGACGACGTTTGATGGCATGTCTGGAGAGAGCGCAGTGCGAAGACCGAGCTGGGTTTAGAGTAGCACGGGAGACCATCTACTTTTTTTTTTCGTTTCGCTGCGAGAGAAATGCGACGAATGGGGGCATCACGTGTGGGTGGCGACGCTGGGCTGTAAAAAAGCTTTCGACAGTACCTCGCACGATACCATATGGGCTGCGATGGAGGAGCAAGGCGTCCCTATGCCATACATATTATTGTTGCAGAAGTTGTATTCTGATCAAGTTGGCGTCATCACTCTAGACAAGACCAGCCGAGAGTTCCCAATCATACGAGGGACGAAACGCGGATATCTTCTGAACCCGACACTTCTTAACGCTGTTTTTGAATGCCAGTTTAGGCCGTTGAAATCTCGATGGCAGTCGAATTCTTGCGGATTTATGCTGGAGAACAGGCGATTCACTAACCTCCATTTCGCAGACGACGTCCTGTTGGTGAGCAACACGCTGGCGGTCTTGAAGCTCGTGCTTGGCGACGTGGCGGCGGCATGCAGCGCGCATGGCTCATCTCTTCGCCCGGGCAATACGAGCATCTTGACCAATCTGCGGGCGAGGAGGGGCGAATCTGTTCAAATGTATATATATTTAGATATAGCTATCTATTTATATTTGTGGTATTTTTATAGATATACCTGCGAGGGATGGACTCTGAGCTTCTGAAGCGACTAGATTCCAGATATCTTGGTCGGAAGATTTCGTTCCAGGGTCCCCACAAGGTGGAGCTGGACAACATAATGCAGAGTGCTTGGAGGAAGTTCATGGTGCTGAAGGATGAGTTGACGAACGCCAAAAATCGAATGAAGACCCGGATTCGCTTATTCGAGTCGGCTACTACACCATGCGCATTGTATGGCTCGTCGTGTTGGACGCTTGCAGCAGACCTGGAGCGGGCATTGATCAAAACGCATCTCCAAATGCTACGAATGGTTATCGGGTCTGGCTGGTGCCGAAATCCACCCGCTTCTAATTCCCACACTGCGTCGCCGGAGATTGCTGGTTCTTCTCCTACTTGTGTTCATGATGATGTTGACGAGGAGGGGGCGGGGGAAGCGGAAGAGCATCACATCGAATCGTGGGGCGTTTGGCTACAGAGGACGGCGCGGCACACAGAGCAACAGTTGGTCACGTTGGGGATATTGGATTGGAAGACGCAATACGGAAGGTTGAAAATGGCGATGTGCCGGCACATTGTTGCAATCAGATCAGGAAGGTGGTCTCATGCAGTTCTTGGTTGGGAGCTGGGGCGCGTTTATTCGATTGGGGAACGCATTGGCAGGCCCCCCCGAAGATGGGAAGACGGTTTTGCTGCCATTTGTGCGTGGCATTGTCAATCTGGCGAAAACTGGACGACTGTAACTTCATATTCTCAATGGTGGGATGATTAGGAGAAGTACCACGCGGACCTGTGAGCGTAATTGCCTTCTTCATCCACGTCGTTGCCCAGGGCGGGTCCGCCCGCGCTCCGGCAGCGCCTGCTTTCCCCTTGATTGGGGGCAGCCCCCGGCTGTGTAGAGCGAGTCTGAATTTGAGTCATTGTATTGCATTATTGTCTTTCGTTTGGCATTGCGACTCATTGCCTTGCATACGTTTGCTTCCAACCAGCATTATCCCTTAATTGGGGTCGCGGTGGGTTCATTTGTGAAGGGGAGGAGGTGTTGAACGAGGAATAATCAGATGCGGAACGATTTGGGGCCTTTTGGAAAGCGCAGCGTGCTAAAAAGGAAGCGGCGAGAACGTGGAAATTGCAGTGGGGTATGATATGAGGGATCCGCGTGTGACGACAATGATGGAAGTTGTCTCTTTCCGTGCTTGCTTTGGGACTGCACTCCCTGTGGCCGGGCGGCCAATGGAAGAGATCAGGCCACGAGAGAGTGTTCAATGCCACAATAGGGAGGCGGCTGAGAAGGAGGAGGAGGAGGAGGAGGAGGAGGAGGAGGAGGAGGAGGAGGAGGAGGAGGAGGAGAAGAGGAGGAGGAGAGGAGGAGGAGGAGGATAAGGAGTAGGTGGTATGCCGAGGAGAAGGAGGAGGAGGAGGAGGAGGAGGAGGAGAAGGAGGAGGAGGAGGAGGAGGAGGAGGAGGTTCCTGTCCGCCTAGCAACGTCAGTCTGGTGCTCGGAGGAGTTGCGGGGATCTCTTCGACTGTAGGCGTGGGATGGTGGGGGGCGAGGCTCCGAGGAGAAGGAGGCAGGAGGTAGGAGGCGAGGAAGAGGAGTAGTGTTGGAATTCGTCTCGATTGGCTGGAGTGGTCCGGACCCGAGCCCGACACGCCAGAGGAGGAATCCAGTATGAGTGGAACTTGCATTTGGAATGGGGGAGGTTCTAGGCGAGCTTTCTGACAAACTGGGGATCCCTTTTTTATCCATTAGTTTTCGTTCGTCTATTCTCTCTATTCATCCCTCGTTCCTCTCTCCTTCCTCTTCTGCTTCCTCTTCCGTGTGCGGTAGGGCTGTGGGATCAGAACCTCCTCGGTGAACGTCTTGGCCAGAAGGTATGGTGGGCGTGTCCCAGTTTTTGTAACGACAGCGCTGCGTGTGGATTTATTCTCAGAGCCAGCGATCGAGTTATACATTTGCTGATAGCAGGTTTTACCGTCTGCTGGCATATCCGGCCACGGGAAGGGAGCGAGGAGGGACAAGGCAGGATGGAGGAGGCAGGATGGACCAGGGAGGAGTCCGTCTCCTCATGGTGCCCTTTCAAGCCTTTTGCGGAGATGCTAATCGTACTCGGGGCGCTTGATGGGGTTTGCCCAGTGGTATGCGTCCAGCACAGCACAGGAGCCCGCTTTCCCTTGGGGCAGTTGGACTCTCTATGCGCCCTCATGAGTCGGTCTTTGAATCGAGGGCCTCACGAGCCTGATACCCAGGCATGTGGGAACAGTGGTTTTCGTGTGGGCTTTCGTGAGGAATCCGTTCCTCCGCCGTGCTTCCATGGTGAGATACTGCATGGAGGGACACATCTGCGACGCCTGTGCCAAGGACGACTGTGGCCGCTGCTCGAATCAGCACTGCGCGTCCATGTACCCAAACGTTGTGTCACCTGACGACGAATCGTACGTGGACTACATTGGTCACACCGAAACGCTGCACGACGACCTGACTGAGATTTTTCTTGAGGTGCAGCGTCGGTTCAGAAATGCAACTGGAAAGGGGATCCGATGGTACAATTCTACAGACATGACGAGCATACAAGTGAACAAGGTCAGTGGCGGTCTCGCCGACCCCTAGCAAACCATCCCCTTCCGTGACGTCCCACTCGCCTCAACCCAAGACGTATGTATGCGGCCAGAGGCGAGGATGACATCACTGAAGATGCTGGTCAGTGTAGGGGTCGGTTAGGCCGCGCCCGACAAGGCGACCCACAGTCGAATCACCGAGAAGGACACCTCCCTCGAGGCATTCGCCCGCTGCCCGGGGTGCATCCGATCGATGTTGCATGCGTATCGGCACGACGCAGACCTTTTCGGCTATACAGCGCCGTCTGCAAAAAGAGTACTTGTGTTCAGAGAGAGAGAGAGTCTATCAATGCGACCAGGCGATTATGAAATGCCCGGGCTGGGGTTCGCAACGCCCACTGGGAAGTGGATCATTCAATACACATTCCTGGTTCGTCGTGGTTGCCGTCGTCGCCGTGGATGCCGCCAGGCTGCAACCAGCGACCCAGGCGAGAAGCACATGCTTTGAGATCGTCTCTGCCCGACTTGCTTTTTAATCGTTCGGTCGCATTGTGAGTTGAAGTGTCGCCAACGTTCGGAGGATCCCTCATAAATTTGTTGACGCTTCGCGCGTTCTTCCCAGCTCACCCAGAAACGGTGCCCAGACGAGTTGCCCCGATCAGGGAAGTGTGCAATAGGCACATCAAAGAAGAAATCGGCCTGCCAGCATGTGCCCCCCCAAATCCCTATCCCTCGATGACACCAGGGACCAACAGAAGCTCTGGGCCACCTTCGGACCCTCAAAGATCGACGGATAATGTGGCTCGATATTCGTATAGCAAGATTTCCGATCGTATGTGTCCACTGTAGGAGCAGACAGTGGATTAACGTGGGGGGCAGCCATCGAATCGACGCGCGGGACAAGTTTGCGTAGAGGAATCTGCCATAAAGGGCTTCGCGGATCTTTCGATGTGGGAGCCTTTTGGAATCTTGTTTGGGCCGTCTAAGGGCTCTCCTGAGGCCATCTTGGAGGCCTTTGGGGCTTTCTTGGGGCCCTCTTGGGGATCTCTTGGCGCTCTGTTGGGAGCCTGTCAGTCCCTGGTGAGGCCATCTTGGAGGACATCGATCGACGAAGGGGGCGGTCTCGGCGGCATGCTGGATACCATCTTGAGCACTCTTGGTCTATCTTGTGCCACTCCAGATACCATTTTGGGACATCTTTGCCCTTCTGAGGTCATCTTGAAGTCATCTTGGGCCATCTTGGACGCTCCAACGCGTCGCGACACCCTGGTCCCGATCCCAGGGGAGGGGGTAAGGGTGAGGGGTAAACGTCTCCTCGAAGCTGATGATGGGTTTTGAGTAACTATGTCCTTAATCACCTCTGCCAAGAGGCCTGGTGGGCTTACGGCTTGTGTATGCCATCTCCAGCCGTTTCGCTTGCTCCTTTTGTAACTTGCTTGAGCAATGGTGATGCTAGGTGCACGTAGAGAAGGCATTCACATGTTCTGAATATATGTTCAAGTGGCTTACGTCATTTTGCCAACCCTCGGCTGAGTTGAGACTTCCGGGGCGTTCGGTAGGCTACGTTGGAGCTGGAGCGGTGGGATGTTTTTTTTTCCTGCCCGCGAGGGCGGAGGAAAAGCAGGAGGAGGACCAGAGTAAACCCAAGATGCATCAACCTCCATTGCGCTCCCCTTGAATGACGAGCGGCTCGTCGGTCCGCCAATCAGACGAGGGCGCCCCTTGTAAAGAAGCCTCCCTCCATTTGAAGGAAGCCCAGGGTGACCACATTTGAGACGCACTTGCCCTCCACATTGCACGATATTAAAGTCGCACGATATTAAAGTCGTGGACGTATGCTCCGCGGGAGTCCTACGCGAGAGCCCTTCAAGGAGGACTTGGCATAGCTTCATTTTGAGAAAAACATGTCCTCCATCTGTTTAAGCGTTGCCAGCTGTCAAAATTCAGGACTTATGCTTCGCGGATGCCTCACGCGAGAGCCCCGTTTCGAAAGAGGAGCCGCCCTCCATCCGTGTTGGATGTTGCGCTGCAGACACTGGAGGAGTCCTTATCTGATGAGGGCGGCGGTGATATCCATGGCCGATCCACGATTGGAGTTCCACTGGCTTCCAGACCCTGGATTCTTTACGGGTTCCTTGTCCCAAACCCCAGCCGTCTTGGAAAGGACTCGCCATCCACTCGTGCAGCTCAGGACGATGTGGAAGCCGCGTGTGAACGGCGCCAGGGCGGGAGCCCCTTTTTGAGTCTAGGGATGGTCCGCGGCGCCAGCAAAGCGAGAGCCACATTGACAGTCATTTGTGGTCCGCGCGTCGACGCGATCTGAATTCATGTGCTCCTTGCGGCCTCCTGCGGCGCGAGGACGATGGAGATGAGGATGTGGATGCTGTTGCTGCTGGTGGCGACGGCGAGCCTGGGAAAGCTTGGGGACGGATTGTAGCGTCTGGGAGAGCCTGGGAGCGTCATGGAGTTTCTGGGAGCGCCTGGGGCAGCCTGGGCAGCGCTTGGGTCCAACATTGGATTCGGCGAGGGGTGCCCAAAACGTATGGATTTATTTGACATAGATCAGCAACTACGCACCGAATTCTTTCGGATGAGATGGCGAGAGTTGGGTCAGATGGAAGTGAGCCCAATAGTATTCGTACATCGGATGATGAATGTTTGGTCGTACAGATGCACATCGAACCTTCGTTTTCCATTGAGTATGGTGAGGGTTGGGTCGTATGGATGTGCACCGGATATTTTTGGCATAAATTGGTAAAAGCTGGGTCGTGTGGATGTGCGCCGAATGCGTTTGTTTAGATCGGATGGCGTGGGTTGGGTCGTACGGATCTGAGTAGACTGTTTTTTTTGGCATTTGATGGTGCGGGGTGGGTCGAATGGATGCGCGTCGAGTAGTTTTTCTGCATCGGATGGTTCGGGTTGGGTCGTGCGGGTGTGCGCGGCGCTGGGGCGAAAACCACATTGTGAAGGAGCTGGCACCCATCCTTCAGACGCGTGTGCGCGGCGTTACGGCGATCACCACGTTTTCACAACGAGCCGGGTTTCCGTCCTTGAATCTGCTACAGCTTGTGAGACGAATGCGCGCAGCGCTAAGGCGAGAACCACATTTTGAAAACGGCTCGCCTTCCATCCTTGACGTTGTTGCAAATGTCAAGCTTCAGGATCATACTTGGCGAAGGAGTCTCATGCGAAACGCCTGGCGTGGCCTACGAACATGCTTGGTGGTTCGACAAAGAGGGGGGGGGGCATCTACGAAGAAAAAGGATGGATTGATGGATGGATCGATGGATGATGATGAAGATGGATGGGTGGATGGACGATGACGATGCTGATGATGATGGGCATGATGATGATGGTGGTGATGATGACGATGATGACGATGATGATGATGATGGTGGTGGTGATGGTGATGATGCTGATGATGATGATGGCTATGAGGATGATGATGATGAGGGATATGATGATGCTGATGATGATGATGATGAGGAGGAGGAAGAATGCAGGTGGGAAGGAGGAGGGCGGAGGGAGGAATGACGGAATTTGGGGATGTACGGGGGGTGGTTGGGATTTGTCACGGGGCTGCTTGAAGGGTTTTGTGAGGCCTCCAGTGGAGGCTGTGGGGGGCTTTTTCTTGGCTTTTGGTGGGTTCGTGGGGCTGGCTGGGAGCTGTGTGGAAGATCCTCTTGGATGCATGTGAGGATCAGTTGTGAATCATGTGGGACCTCTGAGAAGGCTTTTAGGGGGCATCTGGTTTGCTTTTTGGGACCTTTCGGGTGCCTTCGGGGAGTCTATTGGGGCGTCTTGGAGGTCCCTTCGGGGCCTCTTGGGGGCGCCTCGGGGGTCTCTGCGGGGATTCTGGTGCCATGGCGGGGGAAACGCTCAAGATGTCAGTTCGTGTTGCTACTCTTGGGCCGTCCTGGGGGCCTCGTGGGCTGTCTTGGAGCTATCTTGGTCCGTCACGGAATACCCTGGGCAGTCTCGACGCTCTCTTGGACCGTCTCGGCGCTCTGCTTGCACTCTCTTAGGCCTTTCGGGGCCCTCTGGAGGCTCCAACCCCGTCCACCTTACACGGGATGTTGGACCCCTGGGGAGGGGAAATGGGGAGGGGGACAGCCAAATATCTCGCACGTCTTTTCACGCCTGGCAAGTTGGGTTCGGCGGATTTCTAATACTCCGCTTGAGCCTGCCAGGGCCGCCTACGATCCGATCCGACGCGATTCGATTTGCCTGCCAGGGCCGCGATTCCGATTCGATTCGATTCGGATCGACGCGCCAGCGTCGGCCGGGGCCTGCCAGAGAGCCAGGCGCGGCGATCCGAGTTCGTTCCGATTCGCGACGATACGCCTGCGATCCTACTTGTCCGTTTTTGATGGGTCCGGTTTCGCGGTTCGATCTGGCTCAGGCCTGCTTGCTCCCACCAGCGCTGCCGCGCACATCCGCCGCCGCGCTCGGTGAAGCCGCGCAGCGACGCTGCAGCGCGGCGTGGCCGCATTGCTGCGTGGCTGCAGCGCTGCCTCGTGTCGGGGGCGCCTCGGCGGCCTCTCGAGGGCGTCTTGGGGCCTCGGGAGCGTCTGGTGGATCTCCTGGGTTGCGACGCAGTTTGCTCGTATACTTGATGTTCTGGGCATGGGTGCCACTGCGTGCGAAGTACTTGTTGGCGCACCTGTCATGGAGGTTATCGTAAACCTTCCGAATCGCGCCGGCCCAGACTGCGTTTCGTTCTGCTTCGACATTGACGGGGGCGACATTGATGGGGCGAGAGGGGCGACCTTGCAGGGGCGCGTCGGTTACTTTTGAGGTTCACTTTGTCGAGGATTGTGGGGTCCGCTTGGGGCGTCGTTTTTGGCTTCGCGGCCGTTCTCATTCGCTCATGGCGGTAGGAGGAGTGGGTGGTTCTCGTCCTGTGCAGAGGCCCCGCTTGTCCCAGTCAGGAGTGTGCCCCCGTCACTGCAGGCAGTCCCCAGTCCTGCCTGCTCTGCTGCTAGCCTGAGCTTGTGGGTCTCGGGGCCGTCCAGGGGTCTCGGGGCCGCTCTGGGGACTTTGGGCCGAGCCAGCCATCCCCCCGCTGCTATGCCTCGGAGCGCCCCAGAGCCGAGGGGACGGCTAGTTAGGCTGCTCTTCCTCGATCTCCTTTGAAGGAAAGGCGGGGCGCTCCCGAGCTGGCTTCGCGGGGCCTCCTCCAGTGCACTCGGTGGGCAGCCGGCGCAGGGAAGCTGGACAGGTGGCTTGGTAGAGCATTT